CCCGGACAATTTTAGGGGTCTACAGGAACAAGCCATTCCCACACTGGGAATGACCCATTCCAATTTAGGAACGACCATTCCATGCCCCAGGTTAGTGTTTTTGAGTGTTTTTAGTCCTTTTGGAGTTATCTTGGCCCATTTAGGTGCTTTATAGGGCCCTTAGGGGCTGTACGTGCTACTCTTTCTAACTCCAAAGCGAGGCCTCTAAAGGATTCATTAACCGTTGGATGATGCTCAAAATTTGATGATACCTTCTCAATACATTGATCTGTAACTTTAGTTGTTGGATCATAAAAATTATATCTGTAACGAGACATATTATCAGAACAAAAATGCTACCCAATGTGTTGCCCCCTAACGGGTTGTTTGTCTCGCTCTAGTAGATCTTTGTCCTTGGTTTAGGTACCCCAAACGAAATTAGGTGTCAACAAATGCCCTTATTTACTTGTACTTTGGATGTCTATATGTTGTTTTTCCAAAGTTATGTAAAGACATAGACATTTCGTTCGAGCCTTCTCTTTGTCTTTTCGTATAAGTGCTTCGATATTTCTTCCTTTAGATAGATGGGTTTGCCTGTATCCTTATTCTCTAGAGTAGTTGAGTGTCAGGTTGCATGCTCCTTTGGGGAATAAGGATGCAACATGTACCATCTAAACCTCTAATCTTCGTATAGATGCTCTATACTGCTTCTGCTTGCCTTGTGATGGTGAGGTGAAGATCTTATTTAGTTCACTGTAGAGTGAGTATGTTCTAACCTCAGCCTCTCCAGGCTAGACTAGTATTAGGGCTTCCAGCTAGCCTAAGTTGTGATGTGAGTATTGTCTCTCTAGATTTTCCCTGATGGCTTTGTCATGTGCTAGTGCAAGAAATGAGTATTTCTTGATCTAGCCTCTCTAAGCTAGAATGGTATTGAGGCTCTAGCCGACCTATAAGTGTTCCTTGATCCAGCCTCTCCAATTTGGATTGGTATTGAGGCTCTAGATGACCTATGAGTGTTATTTCATTTAGCCTCTCCAAGATGGACTAGTATTGAGGCTCCAATTGACCTATGAGTGTTCCTTGATCAAGCCTCTCCAAGATGGACTGGTATTGAGGCTCCAACTGACTTTTGAGTGTTTCTTGATCCAGCCTCTCCAAGCTAGACTGATATTGAGGCTCCAATTGACCTATGATTGTTTCTTGATCCAGTCTCTCTAAGCTGGACTGGTTTTGAGGCTCCAATCGACCTATGAGTGTTTCTTGATCCAGCCTCTCTAAACTGGACTGGTATTGAGGCTCCAACTGACCTATGAGGGTTTCTTGATCCAACCTTTCCAAGTTGGACTGGTATCGAGGCTCTAACCAACCTTTGAGTGTTTCTTGATCCAACGTCTCCAAGCTAGATTGGTATTGAGGCTCCAACCGACCTATGAGTATTTCTTGATCCAACCTTGCCAAGCTGGATTGGTATTGAGACTCTAGCCGACCTATGAGTGTTTCTTGATCCAACCTCTCTAAGATGGACTGGTATTGAGGCTCCAGCCGACCAATGAGTGTTTCTTGATCCAGCCTCTTCAAGTTGGATTGATATTGAGGCTTCGGCCGACCTGTGAGTGTTTCTTGATTCAACTTCTCCAAGTTGGACTGGTATTGTGGCTCCAACTGACCTATGAGTATTTCTTGATCCAACCTCTCCAAGATGGACTGGTATTGTAACATCCTGAATTTTCTACATAGTTAATTATTATTATTTTTATAGAGCTTATTTTCTTATAATTTTTGTTAATTAAGGGGATTTTATAGAACTTTTTATAATTTTTTTTAATAATTTAAATATTTATAAAAATTAATTTTTATATATGAAATTCTATTGTTTTAGGCCAAGAATGGGCCGTTCCAAAAAGTGGAACGGGCCATTCCCTAAGCAGAACGGGCGTTCTAAAAAGTGGAACGGGTCTTTCCAGACAAATAAAATGGCCTAAAATCCAAGTTAGAAACGGCTATTCCAATTATGATCAATGTGTGTTAAAATCAACCCTAGAACGGGCTGTTCTGATTTTGAGAACGGGCCGTTCTGATTTTGAGAACAAGCCATTCTGATTTTGAGAACGGGCCGTTCTAGTTGTAAATTTTTCATATAACGGATGGGTCCAGAATGGACCATTTTGGTTTGAGAACGAGCCTTTCCGGCCACCCCTGAATGCCTTTAAATAGGAGGCTCAGGCTTGTTTTGAAATCATACTATTCACTTCTGACTTCTTCTTCTAAACCTTCAAAAGGGAAAGCGATCCAGAACATCTTTCAAAAATAAGAAAATTGTTTCTACTTCTAGATCGCTTGAACTTTTTCATATGGATCTGTTTGGACCATCAAGGACCATGAGTTTTGGTGGCAACACATATGGCTTCGTCATAATAGATGATTTTTCTAGATTTACATGGGTTGCATTTCTATCTCGTAAAGACAATGCTTTTAAAACCTTCAAAATTATTGCAAAAAGAATTCAGAATGAAAAGGATTTGAAAATTAAATCTTTGAGAAGTGATCACGATGGTGAATTTCAAAATGAAAAGTTTCAAAAATTTTGTGAAAAACATGGGATAAGTCACAATTTTTCTGGTCCTAGAACTCCACAACAAAATGGAGTTGTGGAACCGAAAAATAGATCTCTAATAGAGCTAGACAGGGCCATGTTAAATAAAAATGATTTACCAAAATATTTTTGGACCAATGCAGTAAATACTGCATGCTATGTTCTAAATAGAATTGTGAAAAGACCCCATTTAAAGAAAACACCATGTGAGCTTTACAAAGATAGAAAGCCTAACATCTCGCATTTTAAAGTGTTTGGCTACAAGTGTTTTATTCTAAATAATGGCAAAGAAACTCTTGGAAAGTTTGATGCCAAGGCTGATGAAGGTGTCTTTATTGGATAATCTACAACTAGTAAGGCATATAGGATCTTTAACAAGAAAACTTTAGTTGTAGAAGAATATATACATGTTAAATTTGATGAAACTAACCCCCTCAAGAAGGGAAGTTTGCTTAATGATGAGGATGAGACAGCTAATGAAAAAACACAACAAGAAGAGCTAAGTAAAGAGTAACAACATCAACCTACACCAGCTGTTGGAACTCCTCTACCCAAAGAATGGAAGAAACCAAGAGATCTATCTCTGGACAACATCATAGGTGATATAGACAAGGGAGTCTCTACTCGCCATTCTCTTAATGTCTTCTATGATGATATGACATTTGTCTCTCAAGTTGAACCATCATGTGTTGAACATGCTTTAAAAGATAAATTTTGGTTAATGGCTATACATGATGATCTGAATCAATTTAAGAGAAACAATGTATGGGACTTAGTTCCCTCCAATAAAGATATGAATTTCATAGGAACTAAATGGGTGTTTAGAAATAAACTAAATGAGGATGGTGTAATAGTAAAAAATAAAGCTAGACTAGTTGCTAAAGGTTATAATCAACAAGAAGGAATAGATTATGATGAAAGCTATGCACTAGTAGCTAGACTAGAAGCTGTAAGGCTTTTGCTTGCATTTGCATGTGTTTATGATTTCAAATCATATCAAATGGATGTCAAAATTTCATTTCTAAATGGCTTTATAGATGAAGAACTGTATGTATCCCAAGCCCCTGGTTTTATTGATTGCAAATTGCCTAAACATGTATACAAGCTTAAGAAAACATTGAATGGGCTTAAACAAGTTCCTAGATAATGGTATGAAAGGCTGAACAAGTTTCTCTTGTCTCATGACTTTCATAAAGGCAATGTTGATAAAAATATTTTCATAAAGAAAGCCTCAAAAGATATTTTGTTAGTTCAAGTTTATGTTGATGACATAATTTTTGGATCAACTAACACATCTCTTTGTGAGGAATTTGTTTCAAGTATGCAAGGAAAGTTTGATATGTCAATGATGGGAGAACTAAGTTTCTTCTTAGGGCAACAAGTCAAACAAATGAATAAGGGGATTTTTCTACATCAAACCAAATATAGCAGAGAGCTACTAAAGAATTTTGATATGGATAATTGTAAAATTTTAAAAATGTCCACTAATTGTTATCTAGATAATGATGTTGTAGGAAAAAAAAGTAGAAGAATCAAGATATAGAGGAATCATTGGATCTCTCTAATATCTCACAACAAGTAGACCAGATATAATGTTTAGTGTGTGTGTGTGCTAGATTTCAATCTGCTCCTAAGGAATCACACTTGAATGCTGTGAAAAAGATCATGAAGTATCTCAAAGTAACTCTTAATGTAGGATTGTGGTATGCTAAAAGTACATCTCCTTCCTTAATTATATTTTCTGACTCTGACTTTGCAAGTTGCAAGTTAGATAGAAAAAGCACTAGCAGTACATGTCATATATTTGGAGAGTGTCGTGTATCTTGGCATAGCAAGAAACAGGCTTGTGTAGCACTTTCTACAACTGAAACTGAATATATAGCATCTAGTAGTTGTTGTGCACAATCAATATGGAACAAACATCAACTTCAAGACTTTGGATTAAAGCTAGATCACATTCCACTAAAATGTGACAATACAAGTGCTATAAACATTTCAAAGAATTCGATTATGCATTCAAGGAAAAAGCATATTGAAGTTCGACATCATTTTATAAGAGATCATGTGGGAAAAGGTGATTGTAATATTGAGTTTATTGATTCAGAAAATCAATTAGTTGATATATTCACAAAGCCACTACCAAAGGAAAGGTATTACAAGTTTAGAACAAATCTTGGTATCATTAGTGAGTATAATGTTACCTAAATCTCAATATATATACTTGTGTATTTGATAATTATGTGAATCTTGTATGCAAACCATATATGTTTGATTAAAATATGCATGAAATTCAATTGTTCATACTTAGGATCACACAATTACACTAGAAAACAACTAATTCTCTATGATAATCGATTTCCAAATGGGTTAACCGATTACCATTGAGAAAATAGGTACAAAATGGTCATGCTGCATCGTGTTAATCGATTACTGCACTAGATAATAAATTACCTTGGTGATAGAGAGATTTCTCTGTTTAATGTGCTCTGAGATAATCGATTACCACATATAGTAATCGATTACCCTACACCCAAGGACTAAATATCCTTCCTCATTTGTTGAGATAATCAATTACCACAAGTGATAATGGATTACCTGCTACGTAACTGCTGAAATACCTCTTATTTATGAACCCTTTAACTTTCAATAACCTTCTAAAATTGCAACTTTTGACTTCCAAACCTTTTCTCTCACGTTCTCACTCTTAAACCCTAAACACATTCTCTCTAAAGTATTCCTTAACATAAAATGGAAGATCTTGGAAGACGAAAAAGATGATGGAGGACCATCCTTGGAGCTTCATGTAGGACCCATCAATAGGCCCATGGCTAGGAGATTGGAAGAGGATATAGAGACATGCTTCTTATGGTTAAAGGATATTGATCAATCTCCTAAGCCTTATTAACCTAGAATTTATCTTTCATGCCTATTTTGCCCTTGTCTTTAATTTTCGGATTTTTACCCTTGTATTTTGGGTATCTTAGACATATGATTTATTTTACTTGTATTTCCTATTTTACCCTTGTATTTTGGGGTATCTTAGTCATAGGATTTATTTTTACTTGTATTTCCCATTTTACCCTTGTATTATGAGGTGCCTTAGATTATAGGATTTTATTTTATAGCTAGGGTATTCTATTAGGGTTAGGAAAAAGGCCTAGACGCATTTTTTAGTAGTCTTGGAATTATTTTTGGACTTGGTAAGGCTTAGGCCCACGTGGAGGGCACCTAGGTTGCATGGTTTTATCATGCACCTAGTTGTAGCTTAGCCAAACCCAAAGATTCCATCCTTGGCCACCAAGTAGCATCTAAGGTTAATTTAGGTTTCATTTGAAATGAATTTGGCATTGCATTTTCAGCCAATACACTCTCAAATGCAACCTTAAATGCTCCCTCCCTTCTATAAATACCCTAGGCTATGAAACTTGTAATCACTTTGGAATTTATGATATTAAGAGAGCCTTTGAGCCTTAATATTATTTCCTTAGTCCCCTTGGTCATTTCGGCCAACTATCCTTCTCATCTTCACTGTGAGTGTTCTAACCTTTAGGAGTGGCCTTCATCCATCAATGAAGTGAGCCAAAACCCTAGAGTACCACCTTAGCATTTCATCAAACACCTAGCCTCCATAAACACCATTCGTCCATCTCCATCACCATGGCTAGAAACCTTGAGTTCCATGATCCAAGGATTCTGGTCTTCCCTCTTTGATGCTCCTAACTCAATCCATGCAAGGAGGGTTGCCATCATGTGGTATCTAGAGCCTTGGTTCTTCAAGGGTAAATTTTCCATCTTTGGTGTTTTCGGTCATGTCATTTGTGTCTCCTTGAATGTCTAAATTTTTGTGCGTGATTGAGTCATCATCTTGCCATATGTCATGATTCTTATTCCTCATTTTCATGTATTGATTCATGCCTCATCATTCTTGTGAATCATCTTGGTGCTTTAGGCTTCCTTGCTAGGGTTCCTACCATTTTTTTTTCTTTAAATTTGAATTGTTGGAAAATTTTGGGCTCCATGATATAATGATGTTTTTCATTTTATAATCCATATGGTTTTGTCATAAGTTTGTTTCCTTTGAACTACCTTGAAAGAAATTCCAAGTTTTTTTATGCTTAGCCTTTTG